GGCGTTCCTCCCACCTAAAGAGGCGAAAGAGCAGGCTGGAGGAACCAACAGTAGTTCAGATTAAAGACTGGGCGGATGGTTGTTGTTTTAGGTGAGATTTTAGCTTAAGGCTGGCGAATGCTTCTGCGTTTGCGTCGACGCACTCGTTTCACTTCATGGTTCTGCGTGTGTTGCAGAGCAATTCACCGCCAGAACAACAGGCGGAGTAACGTGTTTTTGTTGAAGACGACCTAGAGAGTCACGTCTATTTATTTGTTTATTTATCATAGACTTTATTGCCCCGTGCATCGCCACTACTGCTTTTCATCGCGGACACATTTGTCGCGTATTTTCCTCCACAACTTTGTGCACCTCTCGACCGGCAAACCGGGGTTTGCGGCGATCTCCGTCCGTGAATCCAACTAGCTTCTACAACCCGCCAATGACGGCTTGTATAAGCGGTCATTTTTACGCATTTCTTCCAACAAAAGTTCTTAAATCTGATGCGTTCTCTCGTAAACATTCTTTGTTTTAATAATGGCGGTATCGGGCTATGAAAGCGGAAATGTGAGACTCCGTAAAGGATGTATTTAGCCGACCAATCGCAGCCTTGTGCGCTGCGAGAGGCTTGCATTGCTTAAAAAATGTCTCGACACACGCAAGGACGCAAGGAGGTGTGAAAAGCGACGCAAGGGACACGCAAGGGGGTCTTGCGTTTGCGTCGCTCTGAAAACGCAGAAGCATAAACTAGGCTTTAAACCTCCCGGCTGCCGCGGCGCGCCGTTCCGCTGGACACATTTTCTCGAACCCAACTGAATGGCACAAAGCCCGATGGTTCGCCCACTCTGTGTCCCTTGCAGTTATTATTATTTAACTATAACTATTCTGACTAATAAAACGCCCTTTGTTCTTCAGTGGCATAAAATGGTCTGAAAATTGCAATAATATCGCATATCGCAATAAAAATGTTATATAGTGACAGCCGTACCCATAGTTTTTTCGCCATTTACCTACACCTTATTCTTGTATTAAATAATTTACATAATATATATAAATGTATATGGAGCGTGATAAAAAAATTGACCTTGAAATTGTGGCGTTAAAGGCGACGCAAGGAAAAATGTGGGTGCACCTAAATGTTGTGCTGGTGCACCTAAATAAAAAAGCAAAGCGCATCAGTGCAACCTGGCAAGAAGTTAGTCTGGAGTGCTGTGTGCCTGTCCTCCAGTAACTATGAGAAGATATAACATACTTCATATGTTTCTCAGTACTGTTGGACTCTGTTCCTCAACATCCACTATTTTTTTCTCTGTCCTTGCCTTTAACTCTTTGTCCACACCACAGTTACTGAAAGCATGCGTGTGTGTGTGACAGAAAGGGATAGACGGAGTTATCTTACTTTTGACAGTGGTGGTTAATCTGACAGATAAATTATATTGGAGATTACAAATCTTTGCTACGGTTTTATACACCACCTTCATATTGTTAATTAGCATCAATAATACTTGCAGTGGGATGTGGATTCACACCAGAGGTGCTCAAACCTAGAGAGATGTGATCTGAAAGAGCATGGGAAATCAGAGTGATGCTACGCTGTGGCCTCGGGCTTTGACACACCGTGTGAGATGCTCTCATGTCTGTCCCAGATCGAATGCCGAAACTAGAGTCCTCATAAGCTCAAAGCCATATCCAAATGCAGCCTACCCTGACATTCAGCAGAGGGATTTAATCATAGCAAATCGAGCAATGCGATGTCCTACACCCAGGAAACAAGATGGGACATCACTGTTGTTAAAGCGCCGTGCAGTAACTACAGGAACAGAAACAGTACAACCACCAACTAGAAAATACAAGCTGAAATTAATATCAAAGAATTGCTGAAAATGCAGAAATGAGAAAAGCTGAAATGAATATCAAAAATAGCTGAAAATGCAGAAGCTGAAATGATTGATTTTTTTAAAATTAATTACTGAAAATACAGGCATGATACTATTAGTCATGGTAGTAGGTGTACTAAAAATAGTGGTAGTTGTAGTATTAATAGCAGCGTAAATACTAGTTCTTTGTTATAGAGTGTGACCCGGAGACATTCTACGCACAAGAGCCAGAATAAACTCCTGTTGCCTAGCAACCTGCTGTGCTTGACAGTAAAAGTCTTAAAAGCCAGACAAATTACAGTATAGAAAAAGAAGATCTTATCTTATTTAATTTAATTTGGGAAGAAAAGCTTCTCCTCTGGAGCATGATGTATTTCAGGCTGAGAGAAGAACTTGAAGAACACTAAAAGTTAGTATATAATCACAACAGAACAAAAGGAGCAAAGCGAGTTCAGTTTCTTGTGTATTTATTCTGTAACGTTACTGACAGAAAGTGATATTTCAGGTTCATAACTTCACTAATAACTATGGGCAGATGTGGGCAGACGAGCTGCCGTTAACAGCGCAGCAGCTCCCGGTAACGTGAGCTGCTCGCTTTGTGTGTGTTATAAATGCGGAAAAACACTACATTATCATGACTACCTTTTTATGGATTATTCCATTTTTTTAAATTAGGCATTCTACATACTACATGATACGTAGAAATAATACGTAATAATACGAGAGTATTATTTAATTTTATATATTATTATAATATTATTTAATAAATAATTAGGAAGTACAAATTTAACTTCCACCAAAAACACAGTCAGTTACCAAATCAGTCAGTCTTTTAACAACCCTAAATGACAAACAAACAGATTCTTGCCATTTCCCTACTTTTTTTCACACTACAGCACCCACCAGCCCCTTCCCATTTGTCATTGGTCCTGCTAATAATCCGTTGTCGAAAGCAGTGAGTGTAGCCTGTAATAAGGGGTATTAACCCCATAGCGAACAGCTTATCATTGAGGCTTGGAAGCTTTACAGACTACATGTACATGATTCACGAAGGAAGAAAGGCAAAGCAAAAGACCCTGCAAGGAGCCTTTTCTCTTGAATAGAAATCTGACTCACACAAGATCTGTGCAAAGGATTTAGAGGATTTGGAAGGGACTGAACTTCTATTAGAAGTGTTTGAATGTGACTGATTTTGCCATATATTTATATTTCATAAGAGGCTTGTCCAGCAACCTATTATTGAATGATTGTTACAAAACCACAACAGCCCTTGTAGAAAAGTTGGAAGTACAGTTATGGAACTGCCCTGACCATGCCTCAATTGTCTTTTAAGCTTGTTAAGACGCAATCCATTATATTCCATCAATACCCATCACGGCAAACCCATCTGCTAATTGGTATTAGCTTGTTTAGAGCTTGTCACACTCCTATTCCATACGAATTACAGCATAATTACTCCCATTTCATTAAAGTTGTTAATCCTGCACCATCAAATGTGTGCTTATAAAATTTCTCAGCCTGCCTCGCTCTTGCTGGCTTTTTATTCTCACTCATACTGTCTCCCTTTTTCTCTGTCTGTCTCGTGCACACACATGCACACAAGGCAGCATAGCAGGAGGGGAGAACAATCTTCCCATTTTAAATGCTGGTTTATTTTTCCTCTTCTTACTGGTATTGGGCTTTCTGCACTGCTGCTCTGCCTGTCTTTTTTTCCTACCAACATCAACACATGATCACGCACACACACAGCATGCACACACGTCGATGTTGTCAACGAAATGTGCATCAATGCTGTTAGGTTGTGAGAATAAGACTCATCTTTTCCCTAAATGGTGCTTGATTGCATATGACCGAGGCATGTCATCCCGTCCGCTCAGCATAACAAGCAGAAAAGCAAGAAACCAGGGCTTTCTATATGCAACAATTCTTCCGCCTGAAACTAACCCAATTCTACATTATCGCCCACCATCTCCCACACCACAGACTCTACAAGCAATGGGTTGTTCATTCAGTGAATTGAAACACACACACACCCTGGCAAGAAATGAGGGCGTGTATGGTTTATATATATATTTTTTTTTTCTCAGAGTATAGAAATGTGGCAGCAAGCTTGTCTGAACGTCAAAAAGCCCATCAATAATGCACACACAGCTTGTTATAGCTCACACTTACTCACCAACCTAAAACCCAGCATCAAAGACGATATAGATGGTGTGTGTGTCTGTGTCTGAAAGTGTGTGTGAAACACATGCCAGCACGGGAGTGTTTCTCTGAAAGGAAAAGGCGTTGAAAGCCTTTTCCAATAGTAAGAGGAGTGAACAATGAACAAATGGTGTGGATATACAGTTGGTGTAAGGCAATGTGTTCCCCTGAGATAGAACATTTATTATAATATAATAAAAAATAATGCAACTAGGATTAAGGTCAGGGGTACAAGCATGTGATGTGGATGTGATGCAAACCTTGACATTTGTAACATCCTATGCTTTGTAAAGCATGCACAAGAGCAGGAAAGAAGTTTTCAGTGCTCTGTTGGTGCTGAAACCAGCCCTGGTAAAATAGGCACAACATAGGCTTCAACAAGAAGAAGGCTTCTGTCTGAGAAGATGTGACAGCAACAGTACAAGCACCACAGTGTGTATGTCGTCTATCAGCATCGAAGGAAGATAAACCAGATAGATTTCAATGGTTATGACTTTTGTGTAGCACATAAGGGTATTCTGCATGCATCACCCAACATAACACATTGTGTGTTGAACTCACTAATGTCCCAGTAGCTTTCATGGCACAATCCCTGTAAAACGTCAGGATGCATGTCGTGAATTTCCAGACCTCCACGGGTCGTTTTAACTTCGACTGAAATGGAGAGCCCGAATGGAAGCCATGCTTCCCGTCAAGAGTATAGTTATAAACATTGGATAAAACTCCAGATACGTAAACTAAACCACGACTGTTATAGCCTCAGTATCAACCCAACACCTGCCGCTCACGGTGCGTTTTCGTATTTGATAAGTTGCCTTAATGTATTACGAATGAATCTCATAGAAATGTTTGGGGCGTTGTCACAACTTTTACACCACGCACTGCTCACACGGAACTTTCCTAATCGCCCGCTCCCGGCTCTCTGCGGACGCTTCGACTCACCTGCAGGAGACGGTGATTTCTACTTTGGTGGCGGGGATGTTGCCGGTGATCGGGTCGAAGTCGTACACCGATGACATGTCCTCTAGTTTGTCCATAACGTCTCCCTCAATCATCTCCATAGCCAGTGCTCGAGGTGGCACCGGGCTGATCCGGGAGCCGCACAGCCTTGCCCTGACAGAGCGGTTCGAGTCTCCGGAGACTACACAGACCAGATCGGAGACCGGTCGGCCTCCGGTACGAACGGGAGAGGAAACCACTTCACCAATCTTGAAGCTGGAGAGGAGGGAAGGGGAGCGCTGAGTGAGTGGACATCCGCAATAAAACAAAAAAAAATGCAGAGGAGCCCCTGGTTACTCGTCCATGCAACGTAAATTATCTTTCTTTTTTTAACAATGCGGGGGAAAGTATCACCGTCGGGCTGAACGTCACATAGAGAGGTGGATTTTCCCCGCGCCTTGTCTTTAGTCAGTGCGCAGAGCTGAACATGTGAGGAGAAAAGGCTAGATCCACTCAAACACATCCATCCTTCCTCCTCCCACACCGCTTTACGCTCAGATGAAGACAACCCTGCCCGTACCCCGTCGCTACTGATGTCGCCCTGCAACAGTCTCCGTGCCGCTTACTGATAATGTGTGAGTAATGTTAGAGCATTCAATTACACACTCTCAATTTGATTTTGTAAAAAAAAATTTAAAAAGGGTAGTGCGAGATCTACCACAGCCTTCAATCATAGATCAGTGTGTCACAACGGAGAGACGCTTCTGTTAAACCACGTGGTGGTGGTTGTAAAAATGGGGGACTGAATTATGTGCATTATTTGATTATTTTCTCTTCATCCCCAAAAGTATTCATATAGATGGGTCTGGGAGTAATCCCTTAAACTGTACCCTATAGTAAAATGCAAAAAACAGTCTTGTTTATCCTCATGATCTTCCACTCAAAACATTTACAGAAATCTTACCTTTTCATTTAAATACAATTTTACCTTCAATAACTTTTTTCCAAAACATGTTGTTGGGTCCCCCTTTGGGGTTGTTTAGGGGAGGGAGGTGGGGGGGGGGGCGAACACAGGTCAGTCAGTTTGGCGAAAAGTTTGGCGAAAGTTACTCAAATGGATGGCAATTTTACAAAATGTATTCAAACATTCCAATCTTAATGTGAGGTTGTACTCTGAGTGGGGGAGGCAGGGACCCGTGGTTGAGCCAAACAAAAGAAATGAATATAACACATATATATGTCCCCTGGTACTCTGCGTTGTGTTTTAGTTGTGGAGTGTCGTGAGGAGGGAAGAAGACTCCGGACGCGGGATTCGGCATTGCGACTGAGATCGTTCTCTTCTTTATTTCGTACCTTACGGGCAAGGGCAGGTAAACACTCTCGTAAACCTCAAAATATAAAATAATCAACCTATCAAAAATAACACATCACAAGACAAAAATAACCATCGCTGCAGTAATAACCCGCGAACACAAAACATATTTCCGCCCAGCCCACACAGCCCACGCCAGCATGCTAACCACTCACTCGCAGACACATCGCTCAAAGACGTCAAACAGTAAAACAAAACGTTAATAACAGCGGACTTTAGACTGACATGTTACCGACAATTATCTTCTCCTGGTCACTCTCTACGCTATCACAGCATAGTTTCTTTGGGAGATGGCGATTCCTTGGTGGGTTTCTCCTAGGAGAACTGGGACCCTGAGGTTCATGGCACTGCATGAAAAGTGGGATTTTCGGCAGTATGCGGCACTGTAAATTGTCGTGGAATTTCAGGTTTGCAGCAATTTGCGGGCAACGCCGAAAACTGCCGTAAATTGTCAGAAATTGATGTGGGCCTCCCTTGGCAGTTGTCCCCCCATGACCCCCCTCCTCCTAATTCTAGGGGAGGCTTTGACATGTAAATGAAAATTCTGTGAGCTATACAAATGCAAATAAGGGTCGCAGAGGGAGTTTTAGCCGAGGTGACATTTTTTTAAAAGGTAAGAAAATCTCTGGTACAAATAGATCAGGCTCAGTAGCCTAATTATAGACTCTTACATTTTAGCTTGAATTGATTAATTTAATTAAAATATGCTAGATTACTGTGTACGCCATTAGCAATGGCAAATGTGTAAAAAAGACAACACAAAATAACTTCTTTAAAAAATTAGTTTTAATCAAGGTAAAATGAGCATTCCATGCAAACAACATTTGAATCAGCATGAAGGGTCTGCAGAGATCACAGTCTCCTAGAGCTCAACTACAGTGCATTGTCACGAATCGTCCAGGACGGGAACCCAAAAGCAGACCACACGGAAGAATCAAAATAAAAGGTGGGTATTTATTATGCAAAAAAAGGTGTGGGGAAGGTCTGGTCCGGTTGGGTGGTGATGAGTGGGGGCTGGAGTCGGGTCAACGGCTAGGCAGGGGAAAAGGGCGATCCAAGTGATGAGCTGTAGGCAGGGAAACAGGTTGCTGGTTAGTGATCTGGAAAAAAAAACAGAAGCAAACAAACACACTGACTCTTGACTAGACTAGACTCGAGTTTGGAGCAAAAACCGTACGTGGTACGCTAACGATCCGGCAGGGACTGGTTGTCTGGTCACGGCTTAAATGGTGAAAGGGATGGTAATCAGGACCGGGTGTGCAGGCAGCAGCAGGTGTCGATGGTTGAATAATTAGTCAGGATGTGTTTGGGGAAACTCAGAAAAAACAGGTTAGAGTGGCAATGTAACAAACCCGGTTCAGGAAGCTGAATTTCTGACATGCATAGTGGCAGGACTACAGTGACCTTTTCTTTGGTCTTACTTAAATGCACAGAGGATGTATTAACCACACATCTTCTAGCAATGCGCTCAACTGGCAGAAATGATGCTGGGTATGACGTGTCTGTTCCCTGCAAGCCCCAAACTTCTATTGGCTTTCCATAAAAATGTCTGTCCGGGTGGGGATGAAGCCAGGAAACTTGTGCAAGAACATGTTTAAATGCCGTACCCTTTGACACAACATTAACAACTATAAACTGCTTTATAATGGCTGGTCGTAGTTCTGCTAGAGGGTCAAGGACGGGTTCCTCAAAACTGTTAGTGTTTCCACACCACGTAGCATAAATATACGCTGACCTTTATGCTCTGCATCTATCGATTGAGTAAGTTACATTCATATATGTTACCCGTTTACATGTCATAGCAAAACATTCAACCTCAGTGACACAAGGGTGCATCTGATGATACATTGTCAACATTGCATGTCTGTCAGACTCATTGTCTGGTTGAATGGAGAAAGAGGCACCACTGTACAGATTTCTAGGGAAAGTCGTTCTGCTGACACCAAAACACTGCTTTACATAAAGCATATCAGCTGTTTCAAAGTCCCAACCATTTGTCTTCCTAAAATACTGGTCCTTCCGTATAACAATAACCTCGTATGTGATTGGAGGACCCTTAGACTCCTCGTCCAATCACGTGTGAGGTCATAGGCATGACTGATACAGCAGTACTTGCAAGACGAGCATACAAACAAACACGTGTGTGTTACTATATTCAGAAGAACTGTATCTCCAGTTCCTTTGTTTGGTTTTTGCTGCTTCGTGAATAACGGCTGGACGACGTCTCGCGTTCAACTCGCCTTCAACTCCTCTCCGCGGTCACCAACTTTCGGCCAGTCCGCAGACATACGAGAAGAAACTGCTGAATGCTCTCAGTGGATCGTCTCGTCAACTCCAACAACAAACCGCCGATATCAACGAGCGGTTCGCTCCACTGGAGTGTTCGGGACTCTGCGGGTTTCTGTCCATAGAGGAGAGGAACCGACTCAAAGAAGAGGAGACGGGCGCACAATCCCAAGATAGCGGTAAGAATACGTTCGATGACTGCAAGCTAAGCTAAAAGTAGCGTAGCCTCAAACGAAAGCTAAGAGTAGCCTAGTAGCCTTACAAGTGAGCAGAAACAGCTTTATTAAAGTGTATTTTCTTTGCCGTGTCGTTTACAGGAAGCGGTGCGCCGTCTTCACAACTCCGAGACTAACTACAGGCGATACGAACCGAGTAAGGGTAAGATTTACAGAATATGCTTTCATTCTGCGGTATAAGGAAATATATACGTATATATACCGATCATAACTGTACATGTTGTTTTCACAGACTAATCTCGCCTCATAATGAGGCGGTGACCTCGTATTTGCTCCGGGAAAAGTCCAGATTTAGACGACGTCATTGTGTGTAAGTGACACTGTTTACTGTTTCTCCTTCCTTGTTAAATGTTACTGTGACTTGCGTTTGATTTTTGTATTCATACCACACTCATTTAATTGTTTTCCAGCCGCCTGTGAGACGTATTGTGAGACGGGACGCAGGAGCTTCAGGTTCAGCCGGAACACTCATTGCGGGCGGAGTCGAGCGAGAAGAAAGAGGGTCAGACAGGTGCATTGATCGATGTGTTGTGTCCGTACGCATCGCACAGTACTGATTCATTGTTGTTTTTACAGCAGCTGGAATCGAGACAAAGTGTGCTGGCTGATGACGAGGTGGAACTCTGGAAATCCGCCACCGTAGAGCTCACGTCGGACGGAGGGGACGGCGTTGTTGGCGGGGTCTCGGGTGGATTGTACAGTCGCCACACACACACGAGGCGCCTGCACAACAGACCTGGCTCGGAAAACACGGCGCCAGTGACGGTCTACAACCCCTAGGAGGCAAACGGACGGTTTACTGAGCTGTAGTTTTTAAACCGCCTTTACCCAAGTGTGTGCAGATCCTCACTTTGTATGTAGTTGTTGTTTGTGTGTTGTTAATAAAGCTCTTTCTTTGCATAAACATGTGGCAAATGTTCATTTTCTCTATAAATTCATTGATGTCCTGGTTGGTATCCTAATAATAGTGTAGTAGCCTACATAGGATAACCATTAAATGAATATACAGCATAATATGAATATATAAATAAAATGAGGCGGGTGACCAATAGCGACAGATCTGCCAACCAATCACGAGTGATTGAAAGTTGTGGTTTCATCCAATCATGATCAAGGAAACTCAAGCCTGGTCTGCCCAGGTGTGGTTTTGCTGCCAATCACGAGTGATTTTATTTGTTCGTAAGTTGTGGTTTCATCCAATAAGGAGTAAGGATATTCAAGCCCGCTCCGCTCGGCCACCCGCGGTTTCGCTGCATTCATATGCTAATTCGGGCCATTCGCACCTCCGCCAGCTCTCCACCTACGTCATGGTTCGTTTCCGACAATTTGTGGCACAGACAAACGCGACGTGCGCGGGTTGCAAATTGTCGGAAATTATCGGAAATTAGGGAGATTTCCGGGCGTTTACGGGGACGAAAATCTCACTTTTCATGCAGTGTTATGCCACAGCCACTGCATCAATTCTTCAAATAAACATTGTTCTTTTGGTTTCTAAAATATGCTGTTTCTCTTCGACCATCTCATACAATGTGGTTACATTGGAGGTGTTAAATAACTGAGGAACATGTGGGGGAAATGCACGGTTTCTGCTCAGAGGCCCGATCCATGGGGAGAATGACTAGTACATCTGAACCAGAGGCCACATATCTGACCAAGCTGAGCTCATTAGCTGAAGCGTACCAGATATTGTTTCTAATTTTAAGCGCCACAGACTCAATATGTCATATTCTTGTCAGGAAATATTTGTTCAAATAAGCATGGTATTTTTTTACGGAATATAGCAGAACGAGCATATCATTAATTATACATTTTAACATATGGAGATAAGTGACAGGAAAATTGTAGGACGAGCCATTTCACTGAGGAACTAATTGTGAAAGTCACAACACCAATAAGCGTTCTTGCTGTTACTACACCAACGACTAGATGCGTCACCTGAGTACTCCAGCATGCCTCTCTGTTGCCTGTCAGGTGTCATTTCAGTGTGTAGCGGATGCGAATCCATATGGAGATATTGTTTATCATCTGTAGTTTAGCCGTGTGGGTAAGGATCATGTCAGATTCCGAGGTGGATCCGTTGCCAGGAGAGGCAGGTCACGGGCTCGTTGGCCAGCCGGAGCCGAAATCCAGCCCGCAGCTCCATTTGTCTCACCTCCATCACTCATTTGTCCTGTGTCCACGCCCATGTTCCCTGCACTTGTGTGTTCTTCTTGTCTGTTTGTTGTCTCAGGTACCGCCCTCTCCACATTTTCCTCCATCATCCAGTCCTCAGCAGTATCCGACTCAGTGTCAGCCTCTCTCACCAGCCTGATCTCCAAAACCTGTTCGTAAAAATGTATACGAAAATCTTGAAGATACAAATTCATAGTGATACATACTAAATAAATACGGACTGGCAACTGATGACGTCACCCTGTTCAAAGTGAATGGGGACCTGCACCCCGTAAACACACTTGACGTGAAGTCTAACGATGTAAAATAAACGTGTTATGATTGCATTTTTAACGAGAAATTAATGTTAAATTGTAAGAAAACAATACTAACCGTTCACTCAAGAATCCAACATGGCGGAGAGACGTTCACTCAAGGGGCGTTGTTAACCACCGCCAGTTAGTATGTATTGTTACGAATTTCTATGTCAAATATTTCGTATACATTTTTACGAACAGGTTTTGGAGATCACGTTGCTCTCACACCAGTGTTAATTTTGGCAGCTATTTTTGATTTAGTCTTTGTCTTTAGACGAAAAATGCATATTAGTTTTAGTCACATTTAGTCATTTTAATCCTTCTTAGTTTTAGTCTAGTTTTAGTCGACGAAAACTAGACTAAAATGTAATTAGTTTTAGTCTAGTTTTAGTCACATTTAACAGCCATATTAAACTCCCTTTCTTCCCTTCCCAGGCCCAGGGATCCCCTGTGTTGTGTCTACAGCTGCATAATAGTCTAGCTTGCAGTACTTGGTTGTCCATTAGATGTCCCTCCTAGGACAGGTCTATAGCAGGGGTCGGCAAACTTTTTGACTCGCGGCCACAATGGGTTGTAAAATGTGAAGAAGGAGCTGAGCCAAGAACAAATGGTTGAAGTGTTTGTGTGAGCTAATAGAACAATCGCTGCAATACATTATTTTCTTGGCTGCATCATAAACCAGCCATTCTAAACTGGACCCCCACTTTTCATTCAACAGTCTTTTCTTTCTCTTTGTTTATTTGTTGGTTTCATGACCAGTTCTTCTCTCTTGTGTCCTGCGGGTTTTCCTCCACCTGCACAGCGCAGTTCTATCAAAAAGATCCACCTGTCACGTGTGTGCGCGCTTCTACGTTGCTTAGTAACGAACGTACGGTGGCCGAGGCGGTTTAACACCGTCTTCTCACGATGTGGCGTGTGAACTATAGTTGAAATGCGTGAGGCTTCAGAACCTGCAATGACTTTATTATGTTGGACGTGTTTGGAGAAGCGTGTAACGGACCGTCTCATCCAGCCGAGGAAACGCTGCCTGCCGTCGCCAGAGAACAGAGCAGAAAGGTCCAACAGTCTGTTAAACGGGTCTTCATGTTTCTGTGAAGCAGCGCGGCTTCAGCCTGCTAACAGTCAGCTAAACCGAGACAGCTGAGCTAAACTAACGAAGCGCACATTCAAACTCGCCAAAGCGTAAAATAGTCGTCGCGGCCCGTAGTCGGTGCAAAAGAACCACCGCTGAACCGCTGCGAGCGTTCTGGGTTCGTGGATGACGTCATCATGACGTGTTAATATCCGCCATTCTTTGCCTGTCTGTTGTCTGTCAGCGGCGTGCGAATTTAGGGGGAAAAAGTATTGTGACTTTGTCAACCACCAACATGTTCGTCTCGTCTTGTCTCTAGATTTAGTCATAGTTTTTATTTTTTAAGATCGTTTTCGTCACGTCGTAGTCTCGTCTTAGTCATGGAAAAAAGGTTCGTTAACGAAACATTT